GCGGAGGGGAGGAGCCTCGAGGCGGAGGGGCAGGGCCAGGAGGAAGGGGGGGAACCCTGGAAGGGAGGTACACACCCGAAAGGGTTCCAATTGGAATAGGAAAAGAGGAGACAGAAAGGAGATGGAGAACACTGGCAAGAGAGATGAATCAAGAATCTTAAAAGTAATTGTCAAGGAAATAGCAGCAAACAAGAATCCCTCTCTGCGTTCTGCTCTTGGCTCTATGTCATTCATTCATTCATTCTTCATCTTTCATTTGTCCATCCCTCCATTCATTTATTCTTTTATCATTTTTTTTTGGAGAGGTTTTCACTATAGGGCAGGTGCGCTCGCTAGACAGACAGAGAGAGACATAGAGACAGAAAGCGAGAAATCACCCCCCCAGGGGGGATGGTCACGCCACAATCCCTTCTCCTCCATTCTCCTCTTGGGATCTTGAACACGCACGCACGCACACGCGCCCTGCGTGAGTTCTAAGCCACCGGGTCCTGGACGCGAACCACGGTCGACTACGTGGGAGTCCAGCGACATAGCCATTGCGCTAATTGCTGGTTCCCTTCTTTTATCATTTTAAAAGGCCATCTTCTGGTAGGATATTTCGAGGGGCCCCAAGGTAGATTTGAAAACCTTTCTTTATTTGTCATATGAGAGTTGAAATCCCGGGGCCAACCTCTAACTCAGATTCAATGAGAACCACAAACAGAGAAATCCTCTACATGGATCCTTTTACATGATCCGCTAGTTTATGTTTTATTTATTATCCAGTTTCCAAGGAAGTAAAAAAGTAAATTTGGATCAGGGCCCTGTTGTTGAACTTTCTGAATATAGTTTGCTGAAAGAAAAGTTCAAAGGGAAATGAATGAATTAGTGATGTAATGAGATCTTCCTAGGTCAGCCCTGGGATTTAGGTGTACTTCCTTTCAGGTATTCTCCACGCCTTAAACTTGAGACTTGAAGAGGCATTAAGCCAGCCTGTTAGGAGTGTTTATTCTGCTCACAATAAAGCATTGGAAAGCTGGGGAATTCTTTTATCCACAATTCTAGTTTCCTTTCTTTAACTGTCCAAGTGTTAGGATCTGGGGGTGGGAGGAGAAGATTTCCATGGTTATTGCAATAATCTTCCCAAGAAAGCCTCTGAAATAAACATTATTTTACTTATTTCACAGATAAACAGAAGCTTTTAGAGGTTAAAAACTTGAAAAGGCAAAAACTAGGACTAATACCTAGCTTCATCTAACATTAAAGCCCCAAATGCTTTCAGTATTACTAGACTGCCTCTCCCTAAGTTTTAAATTAATATATGTACATGTCTATTAAAAAAAAAAAAACAGAAAACAAAAAATTAAAAAACAAAAATACTAAGTCAGGAAAATTAGCATGGACAACAGGCTATAATCAGTGGAAAAGAGGGAACCTGCCCAGTGGCAGCTAGTGAGAACAACTGAGGCTGGAGGTAGCCTTGGGATCTCCACTGACTCCTTCCTGCCCAGACCGTCCGACTCCTACGTTCCTCCTCCACCATTAGCCCTGGAACCTGTGCAGTAACAGCCAGGGAGAATTGAGGCTGGAGACCACCTTTGGACCTTTACTGACTCCCCACTGTTTTAATTGAAACCTTGCAGCTCAGTCCCAGGTGAACCTGTTCTCAAGAAACTGGGAGCCTACTGAAATAATCAGTTCCAGCAACGATGGTGCAGGTTGCAGGACGAGCACCAGGGAGAGGAGCTGCGGAGAAGCCATGGCTCACCTCCACTCCACCTCTGAACTCTCAGAATTAACTCTTTTTTTTTTTCCTTGGGAAATCAGAATTAACTCTAAGAAATTAGGAAGAAATCCATCAGGTGACCAGAAACCAGCACAAAGGCATGAGAAATATGAGAAACCAAGAAAATATCTTACTCTCAAGGGAAAAGAACAACTCCTCATCATCCACAGACAGTACAATAGAATTCGTGGAAATGTCAGATAAATAATTCAGAATATTCATAGTGGCAAAACTAAATGAGATGCAGGAGTAAAAAAAACAAACTTCAGGAGATACAAGAGAAAAGAGACAACAAACTCCAGGAGATAAGGAAGTCCCACGATTTTAAAGAAGAAATAGACACCATAAAAAAGAATCAAACAGAACTGTTAGAGATGAAGGCTGTAATACAGAACATCAAAATCTCACTCAGAAACATTAAAAGCAACTTTGTGCAGTGGCAGTATCGTAGTCAATGAGGTTTATCTGAGGCACGATTATTGCTAATTGAAAAACATTAAAAGCAGATTAGATCATGCAGAAGATTGAATCTCAGATCTAGAAGACATAATCTCTGACTTAGAAAAAAATCACAAAAAGAATTAAAAAATAAGCAAAAAAAAGGGGGGGGCGGAGATGATATACAGAAAATACTAGATACCATCAAACACCCAAACATCTAAATAATTGGTATCCCAGAAGGTGAATAATCTAATAAGGACATTGATAATCTATTCCATGAAATCCTAGAAGAAAACTTTCCAAGCCTAGAGAAGCATTCAAGCATTCAGACTCAAGAAATATACAAGACCTCAAATAGAATCAACCCAAGAAGATCCTCTTCATGGCACATCATAGCCAGATTGGCCAAAATCACAGATAAAGACAAGATTCTAAAAATGGCAAGACAAAAGCGTAAAGTTACTACAAAGATTATCCCATCATACTAACATCAGACTTCTCAGAGGAAACAATGCAAGCAAGGAAAGAATAGAAAGATACATTCAAAGTGTTAAAAGAAAAACGATTTTTCCAAGATTATTATATCTGGCAAGATTATCCTTCAAATGGGAAGAAAATATAAAAAAAAATATGAAAATAACATTACCACAATAAAACAACAGATGCCAATGACCTTAAGGATGTGCAAAGATAAGTGAACATAGTGTGGTGGGCTAATTAAGAAAGGGGATGATTTAAAATGCAATGATAAGCATGACTTGGTATTGCCTTTAGTACAGGGAGGACTCAAAGAAAGATGAGAAATGGTAGAACTGGGGGAAATTTGCAAGATGCTGCCTAGGTTTAGAGATGCTGTTGTGAATGATAAAGAAAGAAAGAGAGAGAGAGAGAAAGGAAGGGAGGAAGGAAGGAAGGAAGAAGGGAGGGAAAGGAGAAAGGGATGGAGGGAGGAAGGAAGGGAGGGAGGGAGGGGAAAAGAGAGACAGAGAGAAAGAAAATGAATGAGAGAAAATCACAGTAAATCAGGTAAGGACCAGATAGGGTGCAGTGGTACCATGGGTAGGATCTGTGAGGCAGATGCCCAAGGGGAAGGTTCCAGGTTGGTGTCAGGTTACTTCTCTGAGTATACCAAGCCCACAAGTGCTGGTGATCTGGGGTCTGACTGAAGCTGGGAGTGGGTCATAGTATCAAGACCCTGATGGGGCTGCTGTCTCTTACTTTCTCTCACTTGCTCAATGGAAGAAATAAATGGATAAACTTTTAAAAATCAAGTCCAAATGAAATGCCCTTTGACCTACAGTTGGTCTTTTCCACAGAAATGCAAAAATATTAATGGAAAAGTGGTTTGTTCAAACAAATATGATCATAAATTCAAATTAACTTCATTGTTCTTGAATCCCCCCACAAGGTAAAAACATTTCTCTAAAGTTAAAAATAAAACACAAGAAACTGAATGAATCATGTAAACACCTGCCATAAGTTTTTAATGAGATGTCTATTTGAGTCTGTTTCTGAGAAGGAATTCCAAAGATGTTTGCAGAAAAGAAGTAGTAGATTTACCAGGACCAGGAGTTGGCATAATGGCTATGTCTCTGGACTCCTATGTAGTTGACTGCTCTTTGAGTCCTGGACCCAGAGGCTTAAACTCAAGCTGGGCATGTATGTGCGTGTGCGTGCCCAAGATCCCTAAAGGAGAATGGAGGAGAAGGGATTGCAGTGTGGCCATTCCCCCTGGGGAGGTGATTTCTCCCTTTTTGTCTCTCTGTCTCTCTCTGACTTTCTGGCGAGTGCACGCGCCCTATAGCTAAAACCTCTGGGGGGGGGAGGGGAGAGCAGTAGTAGATTTACCTTAGAGATTAGTGTAAGAGCTGATGAAAATGGAGTTTTCTGCATTAGCAGGATGTAACATTTTTGTTGAGTTCGGAGATATAGTTCTTCTTTCTGCAAAACTGCAGATACATATTTACATGGCACTGCCTATGCCTTTAAGAGGGGATCTATGATGTTGCAGACGCCCAGGTGCGAAGGAAACTTTTCGGAGATCACCTGCTCTGCTCCCTGAGGAGCACAGAGTTCCTGGACAAGATGCTGACTACATAAGAAGCCCTTGGGATTTGATAATCTGTGATTGTCCATTTGAAAAGTAGCGGCTCTTTGACTGAAGCCAACCTGGGAAGGTTGATTGAACTTCTAGTCTCAGACAGGCTTCTGTTATTGGCTTTCAGCCAGCCTCTTTACAAATAGGAGAGGGTCAGTTGTTGAAATGTAAATATATTCGACCTTTTCCTATTTGGTCTTCTGTCCACATTATGGCCTCTGAGAAGTATTAGTCTGTTTTGCCCTGTCCTTGGACTTTTGGTTTTTTTTTTTCTTTTTCTTTTTTTTTTTTGAGAGATTTTCACTGTAGGGCGTGTGTGCTCGCCAGACAGACAGAGAGAGACATAGAGACAGAAAGCGAGAAATCACCCCCCAGGGGGGATGGTCACGCCGCAATCCCTTCTCCTCCATTCTCCTCTCAGGATCTTGGGCACGCACGCACACGCGCCCGGCGTGAGTTTTAAGCCACCGGGTCCGGGACACGAACCGTGGTCGACTACGTGGGAGTCCAGCGACATAGCCATTACGCTAACTGCTGGTTCCCTCCTTGGACTTTTGTGATGAAAACCATTGGGGAAAACAATAATAAGAAAAAAAAAAATCTAGCGTAAATGGAATGACAGTAAACAGGCTATACAGACTTACATGAAGAAGAAGAATGAGAAAAAGATTTCATAACCTGCAGGATATTGGTAAAGGTGTTTTGAGAGGTAAGGAAAGATTTAGCACAGTAAGAGAAGTGGTAGCATTGTGGGTATAGAAAAAATAATGGATAGGAAAGAAGTCATGAGAAGTCTTACTAAGCGCATGAGTTAGATACTCTAGTATTTTTCAACAAGTAAAGTTTGGAGTCCTTCTTTATTATTATTATTATTACCCTTGATCATTTAGTTGTGTTCATTAGAGAATGACTTATTTTTGGACCATATGTAAGGGAAATATACAATGTTTAGACAGATTAATAATCTAGCGTAAATGGAATGACAGGTAAACAGGCTATACAGACTTACATGAAGAAGAAGAATGAGAAAAAGATTTCATAACCTGCAGGATATTGGTAAAGGTGTTTTGAGAGGTAAGGAAAGATTTAGCACAGTAAGAGAAGTGGTAGCATTGTGGGTATAGAAAAAATAATGGATAGGAAAGAAGTCATGAGAAGTCTTACTAAGCGCATGAGTTAGATACTCTAGTATTTTTCAACAAGTAAAGTTTGGAGTCCTTCTTTATTATTATTATTATTACCCTTGATCATTTAGTTGTGTTCATTAGAGAATGACTTATTTTTGGACCATATGTAAGGGAAATATACAATGTTTAGACAGATTAATTTTTTAAGTGTCTAACATGGTCCCAGAAAATGTGCATCTATTGTTTTATTCTTAAGATCATCCCATGAGGTAGATGATATCATGTCTATTTCATAAATAAAGAAGTGAAAGCCTAGAAAAGTTTTTCAAGTAACACGAGTTTGTATATGTAAGTGAAAAAGTCAAGATTTGAACTCAGTTTTGCTGACTCTTCCCCTTCCCAAGTCCAGTGTTTTCTCTCTCCATCCTCATCTCAGTGTGTGACTAAGTGTCATTCCTCACTGTATGAAGCAGTGTTCTATTCTCAGTGGGCAATCACTAAATGACATTCTGGTTGCTTTTCCCCACTAAAGATCATCATTTGAGTGTAGGGCACTAACTGCCTCATGACATTACAACTGCACAGAAGGTTAAAGATTGCTCTAGTTCTTTCTGTAAAAGAAGGCTTAGGAGGTGATGAGAATAAAAATGGAAATGACAGTGAGTGAAGAAAAAAAAAAAAAGACTCCAAAAGACCAGCATCAAATAAAAGAAATGTTAATGGCCATGGTCTCACGAAGTGGTTCAGAGGCCATGGGTCACACTAAGGGCTTTCATATTGGTCTATATAAACTCACGCCTATGCTTTTGCTTCAGCCACAAAGAATTACATTCAGCAAAGTATAGGTGCTCCTTAATTGGGATAATTTAGCCGTTGATTCTTCTTTCTTTTTCAGGTAGGTGTAATAGAAAACCAGTGGGGGCAGTCAACCTGTGAGTTCTTTGATTTTTATAATCAATCATGGACAGAAAATATGTAAGAGAGTCTTGGTGTCTTTGTGTGATGTCAGTTATTCTAGACAAACTCACTCTTGTTTGTTTTTAAGAATTATTTATTTAGTATATTTATTAACCTTATTATTTACTTTGACTAGAGAGAGACAGCTCGAACCACAATTGGTCATGTGGGAGTCCAGCGCCTTAAACATCACACTAGCTGCCAGCCCCAAGCTCACTCTTGCTCCGCTCAGAGGCTTGCTATGACCTGTACTGTCTCGGGATTCTGTAGAGAAAGTCCCCATCAACCAGAGGGCTCTCATCAGATACAGCCCCTTGACCTTGGCCCACCAAAACTGTGAGCTAAATAAACTTATACTTTACTTTCTTTAATTGCTAGAAGGTGCATGTGCTTGCCAAACAGAGAGAGAAGAGACAGACAGAAAATGAAAAAGAAGCCCTCCCCGCCCCCAGGGAAAATAGCCATGCCACAATCCTTTCTCTGTTTTCCTCTTGGGATTCTGGATACACAAACATACATACCTACAGTGTTTTTCAAGCCTCTGTGTCCAGGACTCAAACCATGCATGCAGTTGGCCATGTGGGATCCAGCTGTACTAACTACCATACTACCAGCTGGCCCTAAACTCCCACTCTTATAAATTGCTCAATTTCAGGTATTTAGTTATTAAGCAATAGACAACTGAATAAATGAAAGCAAGACCAATGGGAATGGAGAAAAGGGAGTAATCTGAGAAAGATGAAGGGGTTCTCTACACAAAGTCTAAATCTGTGAAAACTCCTTGGAGCCAGAGGGGATTATGGTTCCATCTATGACTGCTTCTCTGTGCACTGAGTTAAATTCACAATTTCGCACCATTTAAAAATAGAATCTAATGAGTAAAGAGAAACAAAAATAGGACATATGCTTTTCCTAAGATCCAGCTCAAATCTCCTGCAGTATAGACATA